TTTCCAGCCATTGTTTCATTTCTATGACCTCACCTTTCTCATTACAATGTTTTAAATTTGGAGTTCAGCTTCCTTCAGAAGAAATTACAAGTTAATTAGCAGAGATTTTTTAAGGGGTAGGTTTGCAAAAATACTTAAAGTTGAATTTCTAAAGTGTCTCTGCAAAACAACTAAGACTTTAAAAATCTCCAGTGTCATCAGTAACATCTGACCTCCTTAGCAACCCTTTTATAATATTAAGAAAATTTAAACAGGCATTGGGAGGGCTGTAAACATAAAGTGTTTCTTTTTATGGAACTTTAAGTTGACTTAAAGTCATAAAATAAGTGATTCTAAATTTTAGAGCAAAGGATTGCATACAAAGATATTTTGCCTTGTTTCTGTAGGCCAAAGGTAGAAAAGCCCTTAACATAAGGGACAAAATCCCATCAGTGTAATAAACTTGGATTATAGCAAAAATAAAACTCCTAGAAGCTATTTGCTTTCAAAAAGTAAAATTATCTTTATTTTAAACATAGTATTATCCCTTAGCATTTTAATAGTAAATGACCGTAATGAAAAGAATGGACATTTTCTGTCTATTTCAAATCACACACTTTCTTTATTCAGTGTACCTTACCATCAATTTCAAACATTCCAAAAAAGAATTGTAAGAAAAATTTACATCATTACCTACAAATTAAAATCCCAAATTATCTGTTTCCTATCCAGAGGCACATAAAAGTTTTCCTCATTATATTAGAAATCAAAGAATGTTTTAAGTTTTATAAGAATAAAATAGTCACAGAATGCAGGAAATTTTGAAATCTTAAGACCTTTTTAAAAAATTCTTATCTGATACAATAGGATTTCTTCAGTCAAGTTTTTATGCAGGTTTTGTATGTTTTATTCATAAAACAAAAATTTTAATTTGTGTTACTTCTTGGGTAAAAAAAAAAAACCCACACAACTTTTTTCTTTAATGGTAGTGCAAAACAAAATATTTACTTGGAAAATTAATATCTTGGCCATTTTAATGTGAACTATGATATAATTTTAACATAGTCTTCACCTTTTTCTAAACTTCCAATAAGCTATTTGTAGATATTCATGACAAGTCTGCTAAAGTAAAACTCTACCTGATTCATCTTTTAATCTGATAGCATAATTGACTAGAAATTCAAAACCACGGTCCTTAACATTTTATACTTCTTGGATATTCTCTAGGGTATACCTGGCACACAATGCTGGGCCCACAGCAAGCCGGGACATAACTGATTATCTAAAAGATGTTTTCAAAAGCAAATGAAACTGCCTATTTAAAATATACTTATGTATCAGCCAGATGTCAAAGGAAGGATCAGTGTTAATGGTCTCAAACACGATTACGTGACAAATTAACTTCCTTTTTTAAATATAGCAAATAACTGATTCCTTATCAACTGTGGCAATTTGTGTCACTAATATTCTGTTCTACTTTTGCAAAGAATGTTTTATAAAGCTATTTCTTCCAAATGGCATGTCAAACTATTGTTTTAGTAAGTACATTCAGTTAAGCTTGTTAAAATAATGCTCCATAGTTAAAATTAGATGCTAGTCAGTGGAACTAACCTGTAAAGTAAACTCTCAACATCTTCAGGAAGCTTTGAGATAATTTGATCAGATACTACAGGAACTGCAAATATAAAGTCCACCCCCCCCCCTTTTTTTTAAGCTTGTAACTGCTCAAATTATTTTGTGGACGTAAAATATACATTCCCTTTTCATGTGAAACAATGTTTAGTTGGTTAAAATCATATTTGCATACATTGAAATTTTCAATATTTCAGAGTTGCATGTATTAGAAATTGTTCCAACAAAAGAGAAATATAGGATTCCAAATTGTAAGTTATTGTTTTATAATATTTGTGAATGCCTATCTAAAGCCATCAGGAAGCTTATAAATGGTACAGTTTCAAGCTCCAGACCTTATATCCCACTTCTATAGAAGTTGAGAATATTGACCTCACAATACACCATTTAATATAAATGTATTTTATTTAGTTTTGATATTAGTAATGTAAAGCTATATTTCCATATATATCTTTAAGGTTGGAAGTTATAGACAATTAGATTTCAGGATTAATTAAATCTCTTAGGTCAGTGCCTGGCCCTGCTTGGACTGAGGGCTGTTGGTGACAATTCCTCTTAAACCTTGAGAATTAAAACCTGGGAACTTTCGAGTTCTGGCAGCCACAAAAAGGATGTATGTAGCTCATCTTGAGCAATTGAAAGCCTGCTAATCCAATTGCCTAGAATTCCAGTCATTAGTCAATCAGTCTTCCAAATTAAGACATCCGGTCTCCCTCAATTTTCTATTTACACCAGAACACAGGAGAATAGATTTGACCAATCGACTCAGGATAAAATTACACATGAAAAGTAACCTACACTGTATGGATTAGTAGTTATGCATTGTATTATGAAAAACCTATGCTGCCACTTAAAAAGTTTCAAGGATTCACAAGTTGCTAGAGAATGACCTCAGCATTCTTGATCTAGATTGTAGAAAATGGGTCATATTTTTAAAATGTGTACTTAGTATCTTCTTAAATGGTTCTGATGTTTGTACTTTTCCATTCGAGTGATTTAAGGTATTCTAACAGTTTCATAAACTCTGAATAGAACTGATACTAAAATAAAGATGCTTCATACAATGCACATTTAGAATCTATGTGATACGTGATCACAATAAAGAAACACACACACCCAAGAAATTCTGTTCATATAATTTATTGCAGTTAGCACACAGTTTAAAAATTCACCAACACACCAATAGTACAAAACTAAACAGCGATATAAGTTATTCCCCCCTCAGGAAAATAAAACATACTATGATTGTCAAAGCTAGATGTCAGTCTAAGTTTTAGAACAAAGGAAGAATGTAAAACTAAGAAAAGGAAAAAGCAATCACTCACAATGACCACAAAAAGAAAATCCAAAAGAAAGTCCGTTTTCTCACAGAAATTGATTGTCTTCTCTAAATTAATAAAAATTATTTTAACATAAACTGTATTTCTTAAAAAAAAAACAAAAAAACTAGAAACTCTTCAAGTAACTAAAGATAATGCTCCAAGGCCATTTTCACAGCTTTTTTTGTTTGTTTGTTTGCTTTAAATGCCATTACAGCCAAATTAACACACATTTGACCAAATATTTCCAAAACAGTCCAGCAACACACAATGGAGTTTTCCATTCAGTATCTTAAGCACAAAAATAGGCTATGTTTACAGTAGTTAAGGCGATCAAATTTTAAACAAAAGCAATTTAAAAAAAAAAAAAAAGGGAAAAACAGCAAACGTTTTCCATGCTACTCCCATAGACCTTATTTGTAAGTGCAAGACAGGAAAACAAACACTGTGCAAAATGCTCCTGCCCTGTGTGCTGGTCATTAAAACCACACGTCGGGCTGCAGCCTCTGCTGCCGAGATACACATAGTCTACTAACCCCCTTCCCCATGTCAATCAAGGCAGTCCAGTCCTTTCAGCCTGGGGTTTTTTCAGTCCATAGAATCTTTTCATGAGTTGGGGGGGGGGGGGGGAAAGGGGGGGGGGGGAAGGGAGGGGGGGGGAAAAAAAAAAAGGGGAGAAAAAAAAAAAAAAA